TTTTTTCCTCTCTTCCCCCTTCATGCTTGGAACTGAATTCAGGCCACTGAGCTGTCCCCCAGGCTCTTTCTGTCTTCTCTCATCCCTAGGAATAGTGTGTGTGTGTCATAGCCTTTGGTCATAGCCAGCCTCAGTCTTTAAAACCCTTTCTTTGTACTGCATTCAGATTCCTGAAAAATCTGGCCTGTACTCTTTGACGGTGTTACGTTGTTACACATGGGCACTGAGAATTCTCAAAGCACACTGACAAACATTTGACAGTTACACAAGGGTCAAACCATCACCTCAGACACCTATCATGCCTCTGGATTGGTGGCCAAGTCCTGCCAATTAACTGTTTTGAAATACACAGTTGGAGCAGGAGTGGTGGAGCACTCCTGTAACCACAGTACTGGGGGCAGAGACAGGGGGATCAGTTCAAAGTCATCTTTTCTAGGTAGCAACTTTGAGGCCAGACTAAGGTCCATGAAACCCTGTCATTAAAATTTTTTTTTTTACTGTTATCAGCAGTAAACTGTTACCAGCCATGGTGACCCTACTCTAGTGTCACAGACTATTTGAGACTATGCCTCCTCATCGGTTACATCACTGAAGAGTGTCTTGGTGGCTGTGGATGTCACTTCACTTAGTAAATCTTTCTGTATTGTGGGGCAGCTGCCCTGTCCATCTTTATTGTAAGTGACACTATGGTGAGGTCTTGTTACAGTAGAACCTGAGTTTGCAGGTGATAAGGGATATTGTCAAGATTCCCCCTTTAAACATGTCATCAAACTGAAGGGATTCACAGACATAAATCTCTCTTCATGGTCTTTGATGGGGCTGCACTGGGTTTTGCCTCCAAATCTCTTGCAGGCCAGGAACTGGTAACCACAATAGTTAAAAAACAACAACAACAACAACAAAACATGGTGGTACAAACCTTTAATCTAGCACTTGGGCAGACAGAATCCCTGAGTTCAAGGCCAGCCTGGTCTACAGAACCTGATCTACAAAGCAAGTTCCAGGGCAGACAGGACTACACAAATCAAACAAACAAAAACAAACAAACAAACAAAAAGTCTAGTTGATAGATAGGTCTTGGTGTCAGAGTCCGAGTCCCCCTGGTTGCAGTGAGATACGGTGGGTGGCAGTGGCCCCTCTGGCTGTCTACTGCTGTTTGGTTAGCACTCTCAGCCGGCCTCAAGATGCTGACCACCTGCTCCTTAGCAATTCCTGCCTCTTTTTTTTTTTCTTGAACAATTCTGAGAACCAACCAGAGAAATCCAAATTCCAAGCAGTGTGTCCTCAAAATGAGAACTGTGGTCTCCATGGTGAAGGAGGTAACACTCCCATCAGAATGGAGAGGGAAAGGGTCAGGTTTTAGAAGGGCTCCAAGGGCCCTCAGACTGAAGAAGCTGTAGAGGGGCAGCAGAGTCCCAGTGTGGCGTGTGAACATGCTGTTCCTGTACCCATGCCATGGCAGGAGTCAGTGATGTGGGAAGCAGCCTGGGACTGGGCAGGACCTGGGAACAGTGGCATAGAGCTGTGACACCTAGGGGCTGAGCGGCTTCCCCTCCTAGCCCTGTCTTCCCCTGTAAGATGTGGGACATTGAGGTGAGCTTGGTAGGTTGTGGAGATCAACCTCTGTCACAGAAGTGAGGAGCTAGCCAGTGCCAGGGACGACTCCAGGTAAAGACAGGTGCGGGTGACTCATTCCTACAGCTCAGGCATTGGTGGATTCATGGGGTTGGGGGTTATGATTCAGGAAATGAGATCTCTGTATCTCTGGAAGGAAGGTTAGAGGGTCCTAATAGAAGTTTTTTTGTTTTGTTTTGTTTTGTTTTTTTTGTTTTGCCTGCCACCCATCACCTGACTGAGGGTTCTCCATCCTTCTTACAGGACCTGCTCTCTCCCTGAGAAGTCAAGAGGGTTGCCCTCCCGGAGCTTCATCTGACTAGATAGCCATTTTCCTTATAAGAGGTTATGGCCACAAATTACAGAGAGCTGCATCTGTCTGTCCCAGGAGCCCCATGAAAGCAGTTGTGGGCTGTGTGTCCTGGATATATAGCAGGTACACAGAGATGGTTTCTATGGATACTGGACATCCTGAGGCATTTCTGCTCCTCCAAGGAGATAATCAACAGGACACATGGAAGTCATCCCTGATAAGGTTTCTTCCTCCCGAGGCTGGTTGGTCAGCACTTTTTATATTCTTATTACAATATTATATTGTTAGGGGTGGGGCAGATGGTTCTGGAATGGTTTCAAGAATGCTGAAACCTGATAAAGTGAGACAATTTCCCTTCATATATGCACACAGATTCATCTATCCTGAGCTGTCCAATCCGTGGAACAGTGTGGGAAAGGGAGAGGCTATGTGCCTCAGAGTTGGAGGGAGGGAGGGAATGGGGACAGAATCTGAGGCATTAGCCAGCCAGAGTCTCTGAGGAGCTAGTATTTCTGCCCACAAAGAAGGGGTTTACAGCCATCGAAGAAAGCTGGACCTGGAAACCTCCAGCAGAGCCAGCAGGGGAAGAGGTGGAATGAATTCCCCAGGGTAGTTCTGCTGCAGTTGCTCGGAGGGCTGTCAGATTGACAGAGTGGTATTCTCTGCATCTGGGAGCTGGACATGCCAGGTTCTTGGGTGTGGGTGTATGGCTGAAAGTGATTGCATACCTTAATGCTATTGCCTGTTGTTTTTGTTTCAGACTCACGTTACAATGAGGCTTTATTTAGACCACTTCTGGGCACTGATGACAAAAGGTAAGACATAGGTCAAATCAAAGCGATCAGAAGTGATGATGGTTTCCCAGGGAGACACTTTAGTTCTGGCACCAGGCTGGTGAGGGTGAGGTGAAGTCAGAGGGTACCAGTTGCAAACCTGTGTACCACAAAGAGTTTCTGGCTACGGAAACAGGACAGTGGTCCCTTGTCACTACAAGGTTTTCAACTCTGTAACCCAGAGCTAGGGTTGGGAGGTGAGGAGTCATGAGGACGCCCGTGCAAGTAGACATACTGATCCAATGTGAGTTGGGTCTGAGGCAGGTCTTTGCTTTCCAGCTGGTGTTTAAATCCAGCTGTGAGGCACCAACAGGTGTGATAGAAACCTGGAATTGTTCTCACTTAAAACTGCCAGCAACTTAAGCCCCTTTAACATTTCCATATGCACCAAACACTGAGGGATGCCTTGGAGCTCTCTCAGCTCTCTGCATGCCACAAAAAGATGGGCCATTCAGCCTCCACCTTCCTGCCATCATAAGTGGGAGCTAAGAGTAATTACAGTCATGATCTAGGAAGGAAAGTGAAGCCAGAGGTCTATCAAGGCTTTCAAATAGCCTATGGGCACCGCTGGGCTCTAAGAATGGCTAGAGTCTGAAGTCCCACAGCCCAGCAGTCCCTCTGCCTGGATGGTCCTCACTCCCAATGGCAGCTAGTGCTCCTAGGCTTATAGGGATGAAAACTTCTTGGGTAGGTGTTTTTCTGTTCCTATAATGCGCACAAGGCTGGGCTTACTTAGCTCAAGGCTCTGGTGTGATGGGCTGAGTGCTTCATTCTCATGGCCCCAGGTGGCTGTGTGAGACATAAACACTGCTTCCTCGTGAACCAGCACATGTCATGGGGAAGTTTAAAGGTTACAACACATGAGCAGACCAAGACACTCAGATGTGGCCAGGCACACAGTCTGATGTTTTTTCCTCTCCTTCTCCTTCATGTTTGGAACTGAACTCAGGCCACTGAGCTGTCCCCCAGGCTCTTTCTGTCTTCTCTCATCCCTAGGGATAGTGTGTGTGTCCACAGCCTTTGGTCATAGCCAGCCCTGGCTTGAAAAGTGCGTTCTCTGCCCTGTATTCAGATTTGTGGAAATATTTAAAGACGTTTGAGAGAGTTGTACAGGGGTTGAACCATCACCTCATGTTTGGAAATGAATGTGCAATTAAAGCAGGAGTGGTGGGATATTCCTGTGATCCAAACACTGGGTTGGTAGAGGCAGGAGGATCAGAAGTTCAAAGTCATCTTTTTCTAGGTTGCAACTCTGAGGCTAGCATGAACTAAGACCTGTAACCAAGACAAATGAATTTCCTCCTGCGTGCCTCCAGGTGTCTCCCAGGGCAGGACATTACTCTTCCTGTAAGCCTGTGATGGTTCAAACTTTCCCACAGACTGAGCTGTAGTCAGGCGCTGGTGTGTGTTTATTTCTGCTAATTCCTTGGGCGCTGACAACCCCAAGAATAAACTTACGTAATTCTGAATCCCCGCAGTATGAATCCAACAATCAAGTCTCTACAGTATTCCAAGCTCAAGAAACGATAAGCTCAGATGAGTTTAGGAAGTGAAATGAGGTTCAGTGACCTGCAGGGGAGACATCCTCTACAGACACCTGGCTTCATTCTTCTCTGCTATAGCTGACTTCTACCTTCTGAATTAGATCTGTTCATAGATTGTATTTCTGTAGTTTTTGCTACTAAAAAAATCTGTACATAAAACCGGGTATGGTGGCACACACCTTTAATCCTAGCACTTAAGAGGCAGTATAGTGAGGCCTCTTCTAGTTTCTAAACGAGTCCATCACACACACAACTTTCAGAATACACTAATGAGCCCTGAATATCACCTCCCGAGGACTGGCCTGCTGGGCTTTGGGTATTAAAGTATTAAAGTGAAGACACAAGTTTGGGACTACAGCATTGGGGACTAAGTGCAATGAGTCGGTGATCAGAAATGCCCCTGCCACAGATGAAGAGGCTAAAGCTGTGCCGGGAGGGCATTCCGAGGTCACAGTTGTACCCAGCGTTTAGTGTACCCTTACACACTCCCGTGAGCCTTGAGGAAGGTTCCCCTAGCTGCTGGACAGGGGCACTCTATCGATGCGCTCTGCCGCTCGGCTTCCAATGCCTGGCCCGGCCCCGTGCCTTCTTCCCCCTCCCTCTACTTCCCACTTCCAAGATGGCTGCGGGCGGAGCTGACCAGGTAAGGGGCCCGGGCAGGGCTTCTGTGGTGCCAAGGTGGACACTGTGACCATCTCAGGGCTTCCCTCGCATCTCCGATTGGGCCTGGGGGCCGAAAAAGGTCGGGGACAGAACTCGCGAAGCCCAGGGCTGACGCTCGGGCAGGCCGGAGGAGCGGCGACAGTGAGCGTCGATCTCAAAGCTCCGCGGAGGCGCGGCGGGAGGGGGACGGGAGGCCGGGCGGAAGAGCGATGGTGGACTGGTGGGGGCGTGGCTAGGGAGCGTGGGGGTGTGGCTAGGGAGCGTGGGGGTGTGGCAGTAGGCCGTCCCCGGAGTAGGGCTAGTTCGGGTGTACTGTGGGGGTACGGAAGAGCGGAGGGCGTGGCTCGTGACCTGGGGGGGCGTGCCTGTGGGGTACGGGGCGTGGCCGTACTCCTGAGGCCCTGCGAGCGGGGGTTTGGAGTTGGGTGTCTGAGGCTCCAGGGTGGAGCTGTGGAGGGCTGATGGGGGCGTGTCTATGGAGCGCGGGGCGTGGCGGGGGCGGGGTCTGCTGCCAGCTGCTCCTAGCTGCGGGCGGCGGGCAAGCACCTGCTGCAGCGGGTCGTCCGCAGCGTCCAGCTTCCTAGCCCGGCAGGTTGCGGGCCCCACGGGGGGCCTGGACTGCGGGCGACGGGCCCGGAGATGGCGTTGAAGCTGCGGTAGCTCGGGTACCGAGGGCCTCTGCGGGGTCGGGCTGAGAGCTTGAGGAGGGTGGCGAGAGGCGCTGCCACCTGCTGCTAGCAGCGCTGGCTCGGCGGGGCGGCCTGGAAAGGACAGGCTCCTGAGAGGGCGGGTGGGCGGGCTGGTGTCCGGCTGGTGTGCGACTGCCCTCGGCCAGAGCCTGTCGTGACGTGCGCCTTTCCCTCAACTTGATGAAAAGTTTTCTCTTCAGATGCAGTGCTGCGAGGCACGGGGAGTCTGCTCCGCGCGCCCCGAGCCAGACCCCTGTCCTGTTCAGCTCTCTCTCCCTGGTCCTCCTCAGACCCCTGGGGTATTTTGACCTCTGTCCTCCTCACACACCTCTCTTCAGGTCCTAGGCCTGCTGAGACCCCTGACTTGTTCGGATTCGGTCCTAGACCCCTGGTGTGTCTCGGATCTCTTTCCTGCTCAGACCCCTTTTCTCAGATGTGAGGCTGCATCGGGCTCATCTGACTTGTGCGGGATGTGGGGTGTGAAAGAGGCTGCTCAGAGTATCACGAGCCAGAATCCTCCTCAGACCCCTGGCCTGTTCAGACCTCTGTTCTCTTCTGTTCTTCCTCCTCATCCCTTTGTAGTGTGTTCATATCTTCTTCCTCCTCATACTGAGTTCTCCTCAGACTGCCAAACCCACTCTTCCGTCTCCCCTCTTGGGCCTCCTTACCCTGGTACCTGAGCAGAAGGTCATCCAGGTAGGAACTTCAGATTCCACTCTCCTCCGACTCCTTTTCCCTGGGCCATGTCCTCCTTAGATCTTCCACTCTCGGGCTATAGAACCCGTTTTCTCTCTAGAGAGAAAACCCTCAGTATTGGGCAGATTGGTAGGCTAGAGGACCAAGCTGACCTCTGCTCCTAACCCCTACTCAGGCTCTTGTCAACCCTACGGGGGCTTGGCTAGCCTTTTAGAGGGTGCTAGCCAGCACAGGCTGCTGATGGAACCCCAGGGAGGTTGGGAATGTCAGAGATCAGGTCTAGGGAAACTCAAAACTGCCTCTGTCTTGAAGTGGCAAAGATGATGGGACCTTTGTCTCTCAGGTGGAATTAGAAGTTTTGCTCTGGAAGGTTCTGTATGTACTGTTAGAGTTTGTCACTTCTGGAAGCTGTGGCTACCCTATGATTTTATGTCAGCTGGTTGTGGAGGGAGTCCTGGTGTTTGGGGCCAGTAGTTCCCCTCTCTCCAGCACTCTCTTCTGCAAGAGGTTAGCACCTTGGCGGCTTCTTTGGAGGATGGGTTGCTTGTGGCTGTTGGCAGCCCTGCTAAAGGGACTGGGCTAGCCTTTGTAGCAGTCTTGACACACTTCTGGGCCAGTGCCAAACTGAGTCTCAGGTTTGGTACTGTTTCTCCCCTCCCCCAGCTCTTTCGCTGCTTGCTTTGTTGTCTTGGTTTGACCCATTGAGATCTGAGCTCCATGATCCTAGCAAGCTCCAACTGTAATGAGAACCTGATGTATACCTGCTGATTAGGGTTATCAGGTGCACCCTTCCGGAACATTAAGGAAAGGAGGTGTGACTATGGGACATGAGGTGAGAGAGACAGAGGTGGGGTGTAGACTGAGGCTGGTTTATCAAAGACAAGGCTCTGCGGGTGTCCTCAGTGGCCCCAGCAGGCCCTGGTGTGTATTTGTTTAGCACTTTTTAAAACATGAGTTAGGCTTGCTTTCTTTGGGGGCAGCAGAGTTTTGGGTCTCTGCCCTCAGCCCATCTCCTCACATTCAGCATCTCTTGACTCCTGGGGATCTGTGTTTCTTTAGCACCTTCAGTTAGCCTTGACTCTTGTTATGCAGAGAGTGAGTTCCCTCCTCTACCAGGACCAGTTCTCTCCTTGTGTAAGCCTCTCTAACAGTAAGGAGAACATAGCTTCTGGGAGCATTGCCTTAAAGTCTGACTCCCTATGAGTTAGAGACCCTTAACTTCATATTTCAAGCCTTAGCATTGAGCATATTTGCCACAAGATATGGGGTCCTGAGACCTTGAAGAGGATTTTTCAGAGTAGATATTTATACATAAAAGAGTTTAGGGATTTGAGTAATATTTGATCTCCTGATATTTGCGTTAGAGTTGGATATAAAGAAAGTGTCTTGGGTCAGGAATATTGAGACTGTTGAGCTGGAAAGTTCTCAGGAGTAAATCAGTTTGCCTAATTTCATTTTATTTTTCCCTTGGGAAAATTGAAGCCCAGAGTTCAGTCGGTGCCACATAGCATGTGTGAGGAGAAAAGCTGCACAGCCAGGTCCTGTGAACACAGGGTGGCTGTCTGCTCTCTCTCTCTCTCTCTCTCTCTCTCTCTCTCTCTCTCTCTCTCTCTCTCTCTCTGTGTGTGTGTGTGTGTGTGGATGTCAGATACTCTGGAACTCAAATAGGACAGTTGTGAGATGCCATGTAGGTGTTGGGAATTGAACGCCAGTCTTTTGGAAGAGTAGCCAGTGCTCTTAATTGCTGATCTATCTCTCCAGCCCCGTGTCTGGGCTTTCTAATGCAAAGATGTTAAAATAGTGAACCTGAGTTGGCTGTCCATCTCTGCCAAAAAGAATAATACTAGCCAAGATCTTCTAAAGCTTAGCTCATGCCAGGCATGGTTCTAAAGGCATTATTTAGCTCTCTTCCCCTAATCTAGTTAATTGTGTGGTAAGGTAGAAGCCAGTATCAACTTAATTTTGCAGTGAACCTGAGGCACATGAAGTTAAATTAATTCAGAGTCACACTTGGCCAATAGAGGAGCTGGTAGTTGAATCCAGATGATCTACTCCAGAGTCTGTATCTCCTCTCACATTACTTACTTTAAAGCCTACTTGTAAAATTACATTTATTTGCTTATTTGTATGTGTGTGTGTCTGTCTGGTGTGTGTGTATGTCTGTGTAGGTCCAAGGACAACTTTTAAGTCAGTTTTCTCTTACTTGTGGGTCCTGTGGATTGAACTCAGGTCATTAGACTTGGCAGCAAGCACCTTAACCAACTGATCCATCTCTCTGACTCTAAAAAAGATTTAAAAATTTTTATTATTGTTGTGTTTGATGTGATATGAGTGGTTGAACATGCTGAAGCTGTATGTGTGTGTGTAGGTTGGAGGACAACTTTTAGGGCCAGTTTGCTCTTTCTACCGTTATGAGGGTTCTAAGGATGGAATTCAGGTTGCCAGGCATGTGCAGCAAGGGCCCTTACCCATTGAACCATTGTGCTAGTCCTATTTTTATCTTAATTAATTAATTAATTAATTTTGAGACAGGGTTTCTCTGTGTAACAGTTCTAGCTGTCCTGGAACTGAGTTTGAGGCCAGCCTGGTCTACAAGAGCTAGTTCCAGGATAGGCTCCAAAGCTACAGAGAAATCCTGTCTTGAAAAATAAAAACAAAAAAAATTTAAAGTCCATTTCTATTGAAATCTAACATATAAAATGGTAAAAGTTGTTTAGCGTTCAGTTTACTGTTCAAAGCTGAGGACTTGTATTCTTAAGTATTTCAGCAGGCCATGTGAGGAGTTCAGATGTTTTACTTTGCCTGAATCAGTTTCTTTTGTGCAACTTTGAGCAAATTGCTTTGCTTCTCTTCATTTCAGTGTCTATGGTATACTTAGCATATTTGTGTCTAGGTCATGTCACAAATGTACAGCACACGGTGAATGCTCAGAGTGGTCTTTTCTATTAAGAATTAAACACACCTTTACTCTCAGTACTCTGGAGGCATTGGCAGGCAGATCTCTGTGCGTTTGAAGCCAGCCTAGTCTACTTAGGGAGCTCCAGACCAGTCAGGAGTACATAGTAAAAGAAACCTCTTCCCCCAGACAAACAAAGAATTAAAGAGTTTAAATTATGTTGTATTTATGAAGTGGTCTGTATATCTTCCTGATCCTTTAGTAGCTCACAAAGTGTCTGTTTAGTCATTAAATGTAGCTGAAACATTTGGGAGAGGAAGGAACACTCCATACATTCCGTGTCCTTAATTTAAAGTATCTCATTTAGGCCTTTTAATCATAGCACCCATGACCAGTGTAAGTTATGTGTCTGTTCTTTGGAACTTTGAGGGAGCCTTGAGGACCCTCAACAATTTAATACCACAAGCTTTGAAGCCTGGTGTGCTGAAATTTGCCTGGATGAAACTATTTACCCAGAATGTGGGAACTTAAGGTAAGCAGCCATTTACCTTCCAGAAGTATGTGTGAGTTTAAGAAATTGTTTTAGGATTGTTTTTGCTCACCAAAACAACCCATCTAAAAAGAAAGGACTTTTATAATTGGTTTCCATTCTGCTCAGTGGCAGCGCGAGGAGTGAGCAGTATTCCAAGGGGTTGCTCCCACTCTCCTTTTTTCTTTCTTTCTTTTCTTTTTTTTTTTTTAAATTTTAATATTTTTTCCCCGAGACAAGGTTTCTCTCTATAGCTTTAGAGCCTGTCCTGGAACTTGCACTGTAGACTAGGCTGGCCTCAAACTCACAGAGATCCTCCTGCCTCTGCCTCCCAAATGCTGGGATAAAAGGTGTGCGCCATCACTGCATAGCTGCATGCTGTTTTCTTATCCCTGAAAGAAAGTCTTGAGCTGAGGTTGGCAAGTGCATCTATCAGTAGATGAGTGTGAAGATGGAGCACCTGGCAAGCTCTAGGCTCCTGGTAGGTAGCTGCTCCTATACACTGGTGATGCCCTGATACTTGAGACCTAGGACTGTCCTAGTCCCTTTGTCTTTCCTGCCAGTCAGGACTTAAAGACTCTCCGTCTTAGTTCCTGTGGAGCTCTCTGCAGTGCAGGGGAATTCACACAAGTGTACCACTTTTATCTGTGGGTCTCCTTGGGGTTAGATTTTATTTCTAGTCTTTCCTGAGCTGAAGTTTGTCTTGAACACCCGTGTTCTGGTCTGAGATGCAGTCTGGTGGAACCATTGCTTCTATGAGGAAGCTAAAGACCTCATCAGAACTCACATTGTGAAACACGGGGGACCCCTAGAAGCTTTCTCAAGAAAGTTGTGGGTACCAGATACAGAAGACTTGGTAGGGACTGTTCAGCTTAGACCAGAGCCTGATCTGCATCAAATGGTAGTTTTATGGTGCTGTGCAGGTGGAAGATATTACAGGTTTGATCCGGCTCCCCTGTACTGTTTTATGTGACCCCAGGCATGACCAAGTAGAAACAAGCCATGGGTGCTTTGCCCTTAGAATAAGGACCTGGAAATCAGGTAGAGCTGCACTGAGGGGAGGCGTGGCAGCTCAGGGGTATTGTCCTGTCCTTCCATGGTCAGAGAGAAAAGCAGTATTCACTTGGTGGTAGTGCCAGGAAGCCCCTTTCTCCAGGAACATCCAGAGAGGAGCTGGGTCGGGAAGGCCTGCTTGGGTCCATATCCTTTTGTTGGGGCAGTCCCCAGGAATGGTGCTAGACCTGTTTGTTCTGTCTTCTCTGAGGACAAACGAAATCATTTTGTCTGGACTGCAGAAATTGGTGAAGACTCTGGCCATGTCCTAAGTCTTGGATTTTGCGGAGGAGGGAATCAATTGGTTGCTTCCGGATTAGACTTTCTCACTAGCCTGTTCATGTCACTGGTAGAGTCTCTTTTCTTTGTCACTTGTCTTACACTAAGAGCTGCTCTATGGGGTGACAGTTGGGCTGTTCCAGATCCTCAGGCAGTTTCCTCTTTGCTTCCTGCAGAGTACATGATGCTCACGTGGTCTTCCTATGAGGGTTAAAAACAGCCTTCCTCTTATGCCTGCTTCATATCTTTGTGTGTTTTCTCTAGTCCGGAAAGTGGTGACTAATCACATTTGCCCTGCGTTTTGTGCCTCCCCTGGCAGTGTTTTCTTCCTCTCTGGCTGGACTCAGCTGGTGCCTGAGTCTGCCCAGGCTAGAGAGGCTGCTGCAGGCAGATTGTGTTGCTCTGACGTTACTCATGGAGATGTCAGAAAATGAACGTAGAGAGGGATGTTGTTTCCTTTTCTTGACTTTCTGGATCGTGGTTCCCACTGGCAGAACTGCATGTAATCTGTTGTACTGGGTGGGTTGCCCAGTTGCTGGTGTCTGGTATGTGCATGTTACTGGGACTCAGTGGGATTTTCCTACTTGTATTTGCTTCTGCTAAGTGCTTCTTAGAAGAATATAACCCAGATTTCAGTTGAATGTGCACGAATGGGACCGTCCTGGAAACCTTCCCACTCGAGGACTTGACTGTTAGTAATTAATTCAGCACATACTTTTTAAAACCCTTAATCCATGGTAGGCATTTGGCCAGACGCTGAAATCCAGAAATGAGAACGGTTCCTGCTCTGAAGATTGGGATCTGATGGCAAGAAACAGGAAAATAGTTGTAGAATCCCGTTATTTTAGGTGTGGTGTGGCAGAAGAGCATAGAAAGAGCTCTACAGCTTGTGAGGAGGCTGTGCCAAGGGAGGAGGTGGCTGGTGGGAGCTCCCTGTGCCACAATCCCTAGCTGGATTCCAAAGCCCTTGATGACCTTGCTGGCCAGGAGTTCTTTGCTCCCTATAGTGGTCCCAGTTGGGTTGCCTGTTGAAAGGTGGGGAAGACAGGTAATAGGAGGGCCTTTGAGTCTGCTTAGTGTGGGGAATTCCGGCTCAGCCTCTGTTTAGAAGGCATGTGACTAGGAGCCAGGCCACCTGCTTTAGGCCAGCTTCCAAAGTTCACCTACAGCCTGTCTCAAAAGCATGTGCCTTGTTTGTGCAACCTTCTCCTTATTGCTGCACTGGCAGAAGGTGGGAGGCCTGGAGAGTGGCTTCTGGTTTTATGGCATTGGTAGCACCAGGTGGAAGGGCTCAAGGACCAGGTGGCTTTGGCCCTTTGCAGAGGTTGGTTCTAGAAAATTGTCTTCATTAGGGTACTATTGCTGTGACAAAACATCATAACCAAAAAACAAAACAAAACAAAACAAAAAACAAATTAGAGAAGAAAGGGTTTATTTGGCTTACATTTTCATGTTGCTGTTCATCATCAAAGGAATTCAGGACAGGAATGCAAACAGGTCAGGACCTGGAGACAGGAGCTGATGCAGAAGCCATGAAGGGGTACTGCTTATTGGCCTGCTTTCCAGGACCATCCACGAGGGATGACATCACCCACAATGATAGGTTCCTCCTTCATCAATCAGTAATTAAGAAATGCCTTACAGCTTTTTTTTTTTTCAAGATAGAATTTTTCTGTAGCTTTGGAGCCTACCCTAGAACTCAGTCTGTAGACAAGGTTGGCCTCGAACTCCCAGAAATCCACCTGTCTCTGCCTCCCAAGTGCTGGGATTAAAAATGTGCACCACCCTTGCCCGGCAAAATGCCTTACATCTTAGGGAGGCATTTTCTCATTTAAGATTTCCTCCTTCCAGATAACTCTCATTTGTGTGTCAAGTTGACATAAGACCAGTCAGCACAAGTATGTTGCAAGCTGGAGCACACTCTTTCCCCTTTAGGCTTATTTCCTCAAAGACTGACACCCTGTTCCTGAGGCTTAATGAATCACCAGAGTTTCAGAGTTCATCTGGTCTTTCTCTGGAAGAAGTCCCAGGGACAGGGAACACCATGACTCTGGGCTCGCAATACTACTGCTCTCTTCTCCACTTCTTGACAAGGTTTGGAGGAGGGTCCTTGGAATCAGTTCTATGAATGAGATGCCGCTGTCTGATTTCTCACCCACAGACACAAACACCTTATGTTTGCCCAGGTACAGACTTCTGTGCACTCGAGGAGCAGAAGCTCTTGTTAACAGTTGAACTGCATCTTTTGCAGGCACTTTGGCCAGATGTGTCTAGGAAACAAGGAAATGGGGGAGGGGGCACCTGTGAGGTCAGGTGTCCCGCTTCACCACACCTTCTTGTTTCTTTTGTCTTCGGACCAGCCTGTAGTATAGTATTGCCTTGGTTCACTGCTGGGGAGGCAGAAGTTGAGACTCAGAAAGGTTAAGCACTCTCCTGAGGACACCTCAGCTGGTAAGCAGCAGAGTCAGAATTTCAGCTGTGCATGTAAAGATTTCCTCTTCTGACCAAGGCTTTGTGCCAATTTGATCTGTTGGAGGCTGATGGTGTTTTGATATCTAGTAACCTTTGCCTTTGTCAAAGATTAGCTCTTAACTATGTGATAAAATGTTTCTTACTGTGTTCTTGCTTTAGTTAAAAAAAAGTTCAACTTTCAATTTGTGTATATATGTGAGTCTTCTTTCTTAAGTAACAGTTGGTCAGGTTTCCCCACAGCAGGGAACACAGAGATGATAGAAGTGATGTTCTTGAGGGCCACGTGGCTGCTGGACTCAGGGTGGACTTTTGCAGTGAGCCATGAAAATTAAAAGGTGTTCAACACCTGCTGAAGTGATGCCCAGATCCTAGTAGAGAATAAACTGAGTTTTTGTCTGTAGGTTTAAAAACTGATTTTCGACCCTTATATAATTTTGTTTCTGTAACAAACTAAATTTGCCTTTTTTTCTTGTGATGTACATTGTGGTTCTAACTTGTAAGAAAAATGGGTTATCAGTCAGTACAACTTTGGAGTTAAATGACCTTCCTTTCAGGAGCATAGTTTTCTGTGGCTCAGTCTATTTCTGAATTCCACCTTTCCCTCCTCTTTCTATTTTTGTTCTTTGCTGCACTATCTGACTGGCTCCTTCAGTTTCTGGGAGGGGGAGATCCCCTCCCCCCTTTTTTTATCAGTTCGCTTCTGCTGCACTTGAGACAGGCTTCTTGAGGGCTGTAGGAGACTTCTTGTAGAAGCTAGGCTAACCCATAGCAGGTGAACTGCTGTGTCTGCTGTGCCTCGGAGCCTTCAGCCACTTCTTGTTCGATGATAGCAGCTGTCCCTCCTGGGCCAGCTGCTCATTCATTGCTTTCCCTGGTACTTAATTTTCTCAAGGTTGTCTGTAGTGGGGTTACAGCCCAGGAGTTGCTGGAGTCTGGAGTTGTGGTCCTTGTGCTCTACTCTGTGGTCAAGTTACAGTGTACCATCTGATCTCTTTAGTTTTGACATTTTAAAAGGTATTAAGAAGGTAACCTTTCACGGGTGAGGGTTGACAGTATGCTAGGTTGTGTTCCTCAGACTGGAATTTTCTCCTGGCTTGTGCCTGTCTCTTTGGCCAGAGAACTCTGGGCATGGCCTTGGAGGTGTGTGTGGCCCGTGCTTTAGACTCTTCTCTCAAGCGTTGGCCTTTGCTCTTCTATTACTAACATATATTCGCTGAACTAGCCTCCTGTCCTGAGTTTAAGGAGCCTGTTCCAAGTCAATTAAAACTAGGTATGGCCTTCCCTCTTGACCCCAATCCGTACCTCTCTAGGAAGTCTGATTTTGGACTGTTCTAGTGCTTGGTTTCTGCTGTGAAGGAATAGCATGCCCTGTCTTGGAAATGTGTGAGCAGAGCAGTACCGTGAAAGGGTATGGCCAGTGGGAGTGTACTTGGGCAGCCTTCCTGCAGATGACGTGTGTGTGTGTGTGTGTGTGTGTGTGATTCACTTTGCTGTTTTTCTGTCTTAATGAAGTTGTGAGACAGCATAAAAACCAAGCTTAACGACTAGGATTGAACCCATGGCTTTGCTCATTCTAGCCAAGTGTCACTACTGAGTTATATTCCCAACACCTAAGTCCCATCTTTTGGTCAGAGATATCCTATTTATAATTTGTCCCCTGTGTTATCATTGTATTGCTGTGACAGAATGCCTAAGATAAACAATTTGTAAGAATGAAAGGCTTATTTCAGCTCATTGTTTCATAGATTTCTTCAGTCCATGTCTTTTGGCATTGTTGCTCTGGGCCCAGGGAAGCACACAGTGTCATAATAGGAGCAGGTGATAAAAGAATCCTGATTACTTCATGGCATCCAGGAAACAAGGCAATCAAAAGGAAGGGCGTAGGGTCTAAATATGAACTTCATGGGTATACCTCCAATGATCTAACTTCATCCAATCTTCTAAAGACAACACCATCCTCTAGTTGCATAGTAGTCTTGGGATCAAGCCTTCAACATGTGGGATACAAGATCCAGATTGTAGTGTATTCCTACAAGAAAATATCCTTCCCACCTGGCACAGATCTTGTGTCTATTGCTGGCCCGGATGCCAGAGATGTGACTGGGGTGATGAACTGATGATGATACCAATTGCTTTTCTTAGATGATCTTCTGTGTGGGTATTTCCCCGCTTTTCCTGTCATGTGAGTGTGTTCAAGCTTTCACTGTGGACCTCAGTTAGAACTTGAATGTAGGAGACATTTTCTCTATTTCTTTTTGACATGGGGTATCATATAGGCTGGTCTCAAGTTCACAAACTTCGTGCCTAAGTCTCCCAGCACTGGTTTTACAGGTGTGTGCCATCACGCACAACTAGTAGGACACTTTCAGAGGCACCATTTTTAGCAGGGCAATCCAGTCTTTGGAGTTGTGTGTCAAAGATGCCCGAAGAATAAATAAATCTTTGGATTTATAGACATATTTTTAATTTCCATGTCTGTATTTCTCTAGTTTCTTCTTGGACCAAGATGACTGATGGAAACCTTTCCACCTCAATGAATGGTGTAACATTGATGGGCATTCTAGAAGGTCGGCCAGGAGACTCACTTCAGGACCTGCAACACCTGAGTGTCAAGGCACCCATATCCCTTTCAGTGCCTGACTATGGACCCTCACTAAAACTTGGTTCTTTGGAAGATCGACACAGCCTTCAATCAGTAGACTCAGGCATTCCTACTCTGGAGATTGGCAACCCGGAGCCTGTGCCCTGCAGTGTGGTTCATGTGAAGAGAAAGCAGTCTGAGTCAGAGGTCATCCCTGAGCGGGCTTTCCAGAGTGCGTGCCCCCTGCCGTCCTGTGCACCCTCAGCTCCCACCAACAGTGAGCAGGAGCAAGTTGTACGGAAGTCTTCCACATTTCCCAGGACAGGCTATGACTCAGTGAAACTCTATAGCCCCACCTCCAAAGCCTTGAGCCGAAGTGACAATGTCTCTGTCTGTAGTGTGTCTAGTCTTGGCACAGAGCTGTCAACTACACTGTCAGTCAGCAATGAGGACATCTTGGACCTCATGGTCACAAGCAGTTCCAGCGCCATTGTGACCCTAGAGAATGATGATGACCCACAGTTTATTGATGTTACTCTGAGCTCCATCAAGGAAACCAGTGACCTACACCAGCAGGATTGTGTTGCTGAGACTGAGGAGGGGAGGAAATTGAAACTATTTCAACCATTCAGTCACTTCTTTACGAGGTAACACCTTCACTATTTGGAGCAGAGCCAGGGCTCCAGATATAGACCTGTTGCCTTGTGCTTCCTTGTCTAATTGTATGTGTCTTCTGTGCATTATTAAGAGCTGTGTCCTACGGACGGTTGTGCCTTTTCCCTTTGCCTCAGAGTATGGGGAGTAGTATCTGCTGCTAAGTCAGCTGTTTGGCTTCTCATGGCCATCTCCTTCTGTGTCCTTGGCTCATTTCAACAGTCTTTGTTGCTTCTTGACCTCTGGCCTTTTGTGGATGGGTCACCCACAGGTGATTATTATCCTTACTTTGTCATTTACTAATTACTTTGGTTTCTTGGGTTGAGATTATTACCAGCATAAGCAACTCTGTTTCTAATTTTCTAATACTTCTCCTAGTTGCAGACACTGGAGCTGGCATTTCCAAGTGCCAGGGCCAGGAAAGGGGCCTTTTTGCATGTTCTGGCCCTGGCCCTGTTGTTGAGGCATGTGCCGTGGCCACCCTGTAGCCACACGATTCTTATTGTGTTGATTCTACCATGTGCACCCTTCCTTTAGTGCCTTGTTACCCACGTCCCCAACAAGCCTGCTGGGCTTCCTGTGTGTCCTCTAGAACCCTGTGAGGAGAGTTGCTTCCATTTTTCTTCTTGTTTGTGTTCTTATGCTTTTGTTTAACAGGAGTCTGCCTATGGTTCTGTTCTAGGCAGGTCATCTGGGAGACATAGGATGATAGACATGTTCTTAGGTCATAAAGGAGGGTGAGCTCATAGTCTGGGGTTGGGATACCACCACCAGTTAGTTACAGAAACTGAGATGCTCTGCATAAGGGTATGGGGGCTATGGATTGTATGTATAGGATTATTATCAGCCCTATATTTTTCTTTGGAGGCTTCTGTGCTATGAACTTGGCAGGTGGGTTCATATGGAACATGTTTCTAGCAAGTCAATGTTAGACTTCGCAGTACCTGATGTGTTGTTCTGCTAGAGTCAGCCAGAGACATGTGGATCTAGGAAAATGTAGTAACCTAGAGTTCCCCAGTTGCTTCATCAGGCAAATGTGGAGTGTCCTCAGTCAACCTAAGACCAGTCCTGAGTGAGATGCTCTTCACATGGCATGCAGTCTTCTGGGGATACCTTTGTTCTCGACGTGGCAGCTGGTGGGTACCACATACCTCCAGTGGAGTCCTGGTCACAGAACTTGGTATTCAGTGATTACCTTCAGGAACCCTCGGGAGCCCTTGTGTGTCAGAGTCCTTCTGAGACATCCCCTGCTGGGGATCTCACCTGTGTAGCTGGCTGGTTCCTGTTAACTTGGATGAGTGTTTGCAGTTCTCCAGCGTGCCTTATGTGACTCCTCAGATCAATCTCAGAGGGGAACGGGAAAGGAGACAGATTTTCAGTCACTTATGAGACAGGGATTCTTAGCAAACCTGGAAACCCTTTTCTGAAATAGAGGTGAAGTAGCATAGTGGGAACAGCTTGGTTTACATGTCACATCCTAGCTATGTGACCTTGAACATCATTTACCCTTACTGAGGTTAATGAATCCCTAGCAGAGTACTGGGAAAAGGTACTGGGTATGTGGTATGTCATTGGTCCTCTTCAATCACCTACGTTATCCCCATCATCAGGGTGTTTGCTGTCTCAGCTCATTTTATCCAGAATTGAAGAGCCCAATTGTGGTTGTGGAATTAAGTGGGTTAATATGTGCAAAATTAAGTGCAGATTCTGACGCATGGATGATCTCTTCGTTAGGGTTACTGTTACTGTGATGAAATACCATGGCCAAAAGCAAGTTGGAGAGGAAAGGGTTTATTTTTATTTGCCTCACTCTTCCATATTACTGTACATCACTGAAGGAATTTAGGACAGGAACTCAAATTGGGCAGGAACCTGGAGGCAGGAGCTGATACAGAGGCCATGGTGGTGGTGGTGGATGCTGCTTACTAGCTTGCTTAACATGAGTTTCTCAGCCTGCTTTCTTTTTTTTAAATATTTATTTATTTATTTATTTATTTATTTATTATGTATACAGCATTCCTTCCATGTATGCCTGCAGGCCAGAAGAGGGCACCAGGCCCCATTACAGATGGTTGTGAGCCATCTGTACAGATGGTATGGTTGCTGGGAATTGAACTCAGGACCTTTGGAAGAGTAGGCAACGCTCTTAACCTTTGAGCCATCTCTCCAGCCCCCCCTTCCCTGCTTTCTTATAGACTGGAGTAATACCAGCCCAGGAATGGCACCACCCACAATGGACTGGGCCCTCCCCCACCAATCACTAATTAAGAAAATACCCTACAGCTAGATATTATGGAGGCATTTTCTTAATTGAGGTTCTCACCTCTCAGCAGACTTTAGCTTGTGTCAAGTTGACATAAAGCTATCCAGCACAGATGACTTTACATATCAGCTGTTAGGGGTCATCATGACTTTCCCCTGATTTATTGCTACCTTTGTCTTATGGGGATATGGTAGAGTTGAGTTGTCTGCTGAAGTCTCTTCCCCTTTGGAGGAAATGCCTTCCATTTTGCAGTTTCTAGACCCCTCTCATTTCTTGGTTCCTGCCTCTTTATCTTTATCCAGCTCCAACACTGTTATAGGGAGCCATACTTAAGCACTGAAGCAGATGGACTATAAAAACAGATGAATCCAAGTGATAAGTCAGTGCACTGAGTCTAGTGGTACCCCTTCCCCTTTCTAGAGTCTCAAAGTCTTAAAGAAGAGTTCCAACCTAGAGTTACTTTAAGGGACAGGTTCAGTGGGATATACACTGAACACAGGCGAGTATAATCATGGGACCGCCTGGAGGGAGTGCTGGAGGGCCGAGCAACCACCAGGATGACTTCTGGGAGTGTCAGAACTGGGAGCTGCAAACGAGTTGGATGAATGAATGACAGAACGACAACAGCCATGGCTTCCAGAAACATTCATAAGAAGTCCCTCTGGGAAAGCACCTATGTCCCAGCCAATACCCACTGCTATTCTCTGTACGAGATATCCTGTTGATGCAGTGATTGCTGGAACCTCAGCCACCCCGCCTGTACCTAGAAGAGTGATCACCAGAACCAGGGCTCCTCCTGCACCTAGAGCAGTGACCACCAGAGCTGTGGCCCTACCTGCACCCCAAGGAGCAACCTTGGGCCTGCCTGCACCTGGAGATAATGATCAATGGAGACTCAGCTCTGCCTGTACCTGAAGGAGCCTTCAATGGAGCCACAGTTCCCAACTACACCAATTGGAGGTAGAGGGACCTTCTGAAGTTCAGCCTTCACCTGTACCAATTGGAGGAAGAGATGGATAGATAACACTCAACAACATAAAGAACAATATGGCACCACCAGAAACTAATGATTTTACAACAGCAAGACTTGAATATACCAATGCAGATGAAGCAGAAGAAAACAACTTTAAAAATAACTTTATAAGATGATTGAGGCCCTTAAATAAGAAATGAAAAAATTCCTAGAGAAATTTTTCTAAAGAAGTAGAGGAAAAGACAAATAAAAAATTGGAAGAAATCAACAAATCCCTTAAAGAAAACCAAGAAAAAGCAAGCAGGAGAAAGAAACAGTTTAAGACTTGAAAACTGAAATAGAGACAATAAATTAAACACAAACCAAGGGACTTCTGGAAATGGAAAAATCTAGGTAAATGATCAGAAACCACAAATGCAAGCATAAACAATGGAATACAAGAGATGAAAGAGAAAAAAAAATCTCAGATGTTGAAGATATATGATAGAGAAAATAGATTCATTGGTCAAAGAAAATGTTAAATCCAACAAATTCTTAACAAAAAACATCCAGGAAATCTGTGACACCTTGATAACACCTAACATAGAATAATAGGGACAGAAGAAGGAGAAGTCATCCAACTCAAAGGCACAGAATATATATTCAACAAAATCATAGAAGGAAACTTTCCCAACCTAAAGAAGGACATGCCTGTGAAAGTACAAGAAGCTTACAGAACACCATATAGACTGGACAAAAAAAAAAAAAAAAAAGTCCCCTTGCCACATAAAAATCAGAACACTAAACATCAGAATAAAGAAAGAATATTAAGAACTACAAAGGAAAAAAGGCCATCTAACATATAAAGGAAGACCTATCAGAATTACCCCATCTTCTCATTGGAAACAATGAAAGCCAGAAGATCCTGAACAGGTTTTATGCAGATACTAAGAGACCATAGATGCCAGCCAAGACTACCATACCCAGCAAAGCATTCAATCACTGTAGACGGGGAAAAACAAGATATTCCATGACAAAACCAGATTTAAATAATACCTATCCGCAAATCTAGCCCTGTACAAAGTACTAGAAGGAAAACTCCAGTGCAAGGAAATCAGCTACATCCACAAAAACACAGGCAATAGATGATCTCACAACAGCAAATCCCAAAGAAAAGAAATGCACACACAATGCCACCACCACCAACAAAAACAAAAATAACAGAAACTAGCAATCACTGGTCATTAATACCCTTTAATATAAATGTATTCATTTCACCTATAAAAAGGCACAGGCTAACAGATTGGATACGAAAACAGAATCTATGCCTCTTCTGCATACAAGAAATAAACCTCAACTTGAAAGACAGCCATTACCTCAGAAAAGGGTTAGGAAAAGATTTTCCAATCAAATGGACCAAAGAAGCAAGCTAGTGTAGCTATTCTAATATCTAACAAAATAGACTTCAAACTAAAATCAGTCCAAAGAGATGAAGAAGAAAATTTCATATTCATCACAAGAAAAATCCATCAAGAGGAAGTCTCAATTCTGAATATCTATGCCCCAAATACAAGGACACCCACATTTGTAAAAGAAACAATACTAAAGCTTAAATCACACATTAAACTCCACACACTAAAAGTGGGAGACTTCAACACCCCACTCTCACCATTAGACAGGTGTACCAGACCAAAACTTAATAGAGAAAGAAAGGAACTAACAGATGCTATGACTCAACTGGACTTAACAGACATCTTTCAGAACATTCCACCCAAACA